TCCTTAATGGCTAAACGGTTGGTATTCTACACCACGGCTACTTCGGCCTATTTCTAACAGTAAACAAACAAATGTCAATTTAAACTCTGGCTGCATTTTTTTATTCATTCTGAACGTTTGGAATAAACTTTTTAGTTTACTTATTCCTTAGAACGTACCTGATGATATTTTAACGTATATTTGCTGCGAAATGGGATTATTTGGAATGTATAAATGAATGCAGACTCTGAGTTGATTAAGCACCCCAATGAGAACGTTTGGTGTTCTTGTACCCAAAAAACTTGTAAGAAAGGGGAAATTGAGAACGCAAATTGACATTTCTTTCTGAGGAGAAGTTGCTAGTTTTTACTGGATAAATTTTTGCTAGTAAGAACTTGCAAGTGAGCAAAACAGCTGATCGCATGTCGCTGGATGGGATTAAAACTAATAAAAGAAATGTTTACGAGGTTTTCATAGTTCAATTTGGCAAAATAAACCTATTTAAATATAATATATATTGTTTTAATAGGAACTAGCTGCGAATAAACAACAAATTAATCAGCTGTTCGTAAAACTTGCAAATTATTACTGGTTTTGCGTTCTTGTACTTTTGTGCTATGAGAGCGAATTCTCAGAAATTAAGTTACTGGAGAATTACTGGCAAGTTACTGGATAATTTGTAAAAGAACACAACTAATGACCCACAGATGGCGGGAAAACACACGAGTTGTATCAGATTTTCGACGTGGTTCGAGTTGGTTAAGTGCTGTCATTTTTATATGGCGAAACCACGATAAATCAATCAAGAGGGTTTTCGGGATAACCAACTCAACAGTCGTAACTACGTGGTTAAGCTCCGGTGGGGACATAGTATAAAAAGTAATAGACTGGCGGTGAAAAAATTTTATTTACATACATATCTATTTATAATAATTTTGACGAAAGTTCGTACCTAGTCGTATATGAAGTAAATTTAAACCGATACTAAGCCCAAAACAAAATTCTAAAAAATATTATACACTATTTTAGCAAAAAGCCCTGCAGGAGTTTTTGTGTGATTTTTTTTTGTACTATTTGGTGTACTAATTTTTTAAAAGGTACAATGCGAAACAATATTGCCCCATTACAACACAAAATACACCGATTTTTACATTGGTTTCTGGCGAGTTTATATCTGGCATCCCAACATTACCCCAAGTCTCCACCTCCTACGGCGACCGCAAATTTCCACTGTTAAACCATATCTGTATTGCTGAATTTCTTAAAGCTCAAACAGTCAACGACGTAACGTAGACGTAGGTTGACGCAGGCACGATCTACCTTATGGGATTCGCGTGTTAACGAAAACTAACCACCGCATGGCGGTGACGTTGCCGTTGCTTCTCTCTCTCTCTCTATCAACAGTAAATTTGATATGCTGCTACGTACGTCAACCTACGTTTACGCTACGTCGTTGACTAACTGCGCTTTTACCATCGCTATCTTACATAAGGCACATTGATCTGATTGGATTGGAACAGTTTCGAAAATGAAATGTTAAGACAGCAAGTAGCCCACATGAGAAAGCGGGACAAAATTAAAACAGAAAGTTGACAATGTTAAAATACAATTAGTAGAAGGTGGAGACGTAGGGTTATACACACCAGTTGACACACAGGGTTTTATCCGGTTTGTTACCAGCGCAACCGCAAGATAAAACCCTCGCTCACAGTAGCAAACGAGCGAGTCTCGTATAATATTCAGTGCTCGCAAGGTCTGGAATATACCACCTATTTGCGTTTTTGAATATTTTATTTATGCTAGTCATGATCTATCAATTATCTATTTTTTTTTTCCTAATTTTAAGTGCGGAAATTTTTTCAACACAAAGTTATGTATGTGATTAAAAAAGCTGGCAACACCCTGCAAAGTTACAGCAATCTTTCAAAGAATGCTCAAAAAATAAAAAAGTTTGCAATTTAGGAAAAAATGCAGAATTATATTAATTTTTGCAGAAAGTTTGAATTTTCGATTTATGAGGTTTTTGTCAGATAGCGAGCTATAGGTACTTTCATAAAAAATTATAAACATTAAACAAACAAAAGAAAAATAAGTACTTATTATATTTTCCGTTTCGTAATACTGAAAAATAAGAAAAATAAATAATACAACTATTGCAAAACTAAGATTTACCACATTTTTCCCCAGATTCTACCAAACTACATTTTTTTAGTACGAGCACTGGTTGTTGTTGTTGTAGCAGCATACAAATTCCCCAAAGACTTTTTGGGGAGTGTTGCTGGAGTGACAGTCCTTGGCCAGATATAAATCTGGGTCGTTCCGGTTACGTAGACCCGACTGTCGTGGGAACGTGCGAGCACTGGTTGTTGTTCTTGTTGTTGTAGCGGCACTACTAAGCCCCGCCTTTTCGGGTCTACTTTCAATCATTTTCGTCAAGCTCAACTAACGGGAGGCCCAGGAATCGAGCTGTTTCGATGGGTTCGGACCAGAGGGAGAGGGGTGTTAGCCGAGTCGAATCGAGCTGGCATGTAAAGAGGTGGTTGGTGTCGTGGGGGGATTCTCCACATGCCGGGCACTCATTGGGGATATTGGGGTCGAGTCTGGAAAGGTAGCTGTTAAGGCGGCTACAGTATCCAGACCGTAATTGAGCCAGGCAATTGAAGCTCCGTCTCTTCTACAGGTGGTGATTGGGCTCCTTTTACGGTATTCATGGGTCGAGAGTCGAGGTAGGTGGTGACTGACTCTCTATGGATGTCGTTGATGACTCGTCTGTATGTTGTTGTTGTTGTTGTTATAGCGGC